TCTCCATACCATTCATACAGTATTAGCTGGTGTCACCACTGTCTTGTAAACCTTTCCTTTGACCTTTGCTGCCACCCTTTTCTCACATATAATTCCAGAAATCTTTCTCCATCCATTCATCTCCATATTGGCAGCTGTATGTATGGTGACAAAATTAAATTCAGAGAGTGATTTCCATTTTCTTGTTCTGTTTTTATCTTGTGGCTGATAAATAACTGGTTGGCTGGAAGAAGCTGTGGGCCAGAATTGTATTTATAAACTTTAACTTTTTCTTTTATTAAGTTTTTAAGTGTTTAAATAAGATGGCAATAACTTGGTAACTTCAACAACACTAATACAAGGGTAATTATACTACACAAGTAATCCCTACATACATTATATATATACAGTATATATATTTTTTCTCTGACCCTCAGTATTTACACATGCAGGTTAAGTATTTTACTCACGCTCTCATTGTTGTCTAATATATTGTGTGACAAAACACAACATCAGTTTATAGTTTTTCACAATGTGCTCCATATTCCTTAAATGTGCGACAGAGGGAAAATGTGAATTTCTATTCAAGAAACTTTGGCGTAGATGCTTTGATACTATTAATTGCACTTGATGGTTGATTGAAAAGTTCAGTATGTGAAAACGTACTTTCTCCCCATCGCTTTCACTGACATGAAAATTAAATATTTAACTCAAGTTGATGCAATGCTCGCTCCTGGAATAAACCAACCAACATTTTGATTGCTTTGAAGAACAGTGTGGTCTGGGGCAATAAAACAACAACATATTTTTCACATGTCTGCCATGGCTGACCGAACCACTGAGGGACCGCGCTGCTGGACTGCTTGAGTCTCGGCTGAAGTAGAATAAAGCAGGCTAAATGAAGGATTCCCAATCAATTCTGGATTGTGAGACATCAGCCAAAGAGTAATGCTGCTGGGACAGTTATAAATCAACACCAACCAGAACAGCCCTGTGTGAACTGAATTCAAAATTCAACCAGCATCATAAACTGTTGGCTGAATTCAGTGGTTCTGGTGAGGCAGAACAAACGCGTTGTGGCAACAAGAACACTTTTTCATTTGTGCTTTCTTCTTAACTTTGTATTGTTGTAACATCTCAATTCTAATAAATGTAAATGCTTTCTTTTATGATTGTCTACTGTTGTCATCGTTCTTTGTTTAAAACAGGTCTCTCTTGTAAATGATTCCCCAAGGCTCAATTCATTCAACCTTTATTTATACAGGCTAGTCACTTTGAGCTGCGAGGACTCATTAGCTATGTTTAAATGCGCAAAACTCTTTGACCGGATTGAAGTGTTTTCAGATTAAATAATTCAAATATATCATTTACATGCAGCGGGCTTTTATTCGGAACAGAAGTACTGACATGCGCAGAGTGGTAAACTCTCCTTTAAAAAACATACAGAAGAAGAAATTCTACTTCCGGTTTACTTCCGGGATGAACGTAAACAAACCTGAGCGCCCAAAATGGACCCGCGACAGGTTTTAATGACGGTGGAGACGTCTCCCTGACTGAGCCACAGGTAATACAGATCATTTTGAGCTCTTTCAAAGTTTCTAGTAGAAATGTTGTGTCGCTCACCGACCAGTTTTGCTTCCCCTGACATGCTAATATTATTAGCATTAGCCAGGTGGAAATGACATAAGTCGCACATGCGCAGTCAGGTCAGTTTTTCACGATCGGAAAAAACAAACAGATTAAGTGTTTACATGCGCACCATTCGGATTATGAATCGGCTTTAACCACCCGTCTCAATCTGATTACAGTTTCTTTCGAATCGAGCTGAATAAACAAAAAAATTATCCGAATGGGGCATTTACATGACACATTTTTATTCCGAATGGCAGTTTAATCCTATTACTTATGTCCATGTAAACATAGCTAGTTACAAGAGGGACCTGTTCCAGACCGAATATATAAAGTACAGACAACAATAACAATAAACAATAATAACAATAAATTACAGTAAAATGCAGTTAAAATGCAATTAATAAGACTAACCTGTATAAATTAAGGCTGAATGAATGAAAAAAATTGCTTTAAATAGTGAACATAAATATGGCCTTCAGTTGTCTACATAGTGTGCCAAAAAAATTAAAATAAAATAAAAATAAAATAGGGCTTGTTATCCCACAAAGTTCAGTCAGGTCATCCGTTTTTTTTAAATTTTTTTTAGATATTTCCTCCTTCAACCAAAGGACTTCATCAATCTGACAAAGTCAGTCCCACAAGCAACACACTCCCATAGTGGACCAATCAGTTTGCTGATGATAAGATGGTTTCTGGGGCCCACCCTCTCCCCCGTCGACTCCTCCGAGGTAGCCATAGCCAAAGTTGTTCAAAACATCAAAGCTCAAAAAATCCAACAAAGTTCAGGCAGGTGCTGAACATACACATCATACATGAATTCAACTTAGATGTTATGCACTCGTTGCTTCCTTTTAAAATAAAAACTGAACATAACACATTTATGTTACCAGTTATGTTCAAAAATATGGGTTAGCAAAGGGAAGTTTGACATTGTCATCATTGTATATTCCCGTAGAATGGTGAAATTAGTACTTTGCATTTAACCCATCACATGTGAGATACACCCAGGTGGAGCAGTGGGCAGCTAGGTGGGCGCCCGGGGAGCAATTGGGGATTGGGTGTCTTGCTCAGAGACACTATGACATGTGGGAATGGCTGGGAGTTGAACCGTGACTTTCTGGTCCCAAGCCAGCTGCCCTACCTCTACCCCATCTTGGCCCCCAACAAGCTAAGACATTAACCCTTCATTTCAATCAAACCCATTTTTTGAGGTCATTCAACAAACTATCTACAATAAGTAAGACATTAATTGTATATAATCATTTTTATGGAACTCCACTTATAAAGATCTAAACTTTTGCTTTGAAGCAAGTTTGGTCAGTTTGGGTGAGTTGCTTTTAAACTGGATAAAAATGGTTCAGACTTTGTGTATTGCTGATATTGATTGGTCCTTTAAATCAAATCTACTGGCTTGAGAGAAATGGCACCCTTTGCATGCCACAAAATTCTAATAGTGACAGTGTTGTTCCCATATCTACATTTTCTCATCAGCCACAATGGATCTGTAACATTAGTTGCATTCATTCAACTTTTTTTTATACAGGTTAGTCTCACTGAGCCATGAGGACTAATTTACAAGAGAGACCTGTTTTAAACAAACAACACAGATGAGGTACAGACAACAATAAACAATCACACAAAAAGCATAGAAAATGCAAAAATAAATAGAAAAAATATTTAAGAACGAAACAAAAGAAAAAAACAGCTACCGGGTACATTATAAAGCAATGTAAATGTTAATAACAGGAATATGTCTGCATTGTTTTTTTTCCATGAACTTAGCAGATGTTTAAAATCTCTTAGAGGAGTCAAAGTTGACAGCTTCAGATCTTTTTGCCAGGTGTTCCAGAATACAGGAGCGGAGTAAGAGAAGGTCCTTTTGTCTAGTTCAGCCCGCACTGAGGGTACACTGCAAGTAATAATTTCCTGAGAGTGCACGCTGTAGCTGCACTTATGGAGTAACTTAAAGGAGGAAATACATGGAGGCAACAGACTAAGAAGTGATTTAAAGATGAAAATGTACCAGTGAGAGAGTCTCGGTGAAGGTAATGATGACCAATTGACCAGTGAATACAGGGTGCAGTGATGGTTACGAAAGTTACAGCCAGATATGAATCTTAGCGCACCATGATAGACAGTATCCAACATCTGCAATGTGCTTACAGGAGCATTCATGTAAATACTGTCACCATAGTCAAAGGAGGAGAGGAAAGTAGCAATTACAAGGCGTTGCCTAGTGTTCAGAGTTAGACAGGACCAATTTCAAAAAAAGAAACCCAGTTTTACTTTCATTTTCTTTACCAAGTTTTCAACACGAGGCTTAAAACAAAGAGATATGTGAATCAACCAAAATACCCAAATATTTATAAGATTTGACAAACTCAATAGGGACACCATTCGAGGCATAATCCCAATAAGAAGCCTGAGTCAAGATGACAGCCACAGTCAGTATAAAACATCCCCAATTTAGCCCCATGTAAACAGTTTTTATACCAGAGTATGGTGTTGACACATACAGCCTCAAAGTTTACAGTGAGTATACAATTCAAACTCACTCTGAACTAATGTAAAAGTTTTAATCCAAACCAAACACCAACATTTACAGCCTATAAGTAGCACTCTCTGACAACCCAGGTCCATTTCCTCCACCCTATACAATCTGTATCAAGGCTCCGTACATTTTGTAAAACTCTTCTTAACTTCTTCGGCCCAGTCCACTCCACTTTCCCCACATCTTTCTATCCTCTGGGCTGTTTTTATTTATTTATTTTTTTTCTTCCCCCGTCTCTGAGAGGAGCTGCATGGTGGGAGTGTGTTGTCTCAGTGCCAGGGCAAAAATAGACAGCAAATTACAGAGCCCTTCGAGAACACCCCGCCGTGTAGCGTGACCTCAAAATAACACAGCCAGACATATAGTCAACATACAAATGTGAAATACACAGTATGCTGCCCTACTTCTGTTTCTTATTCAGCCTGTTCATGTAATGGTCACACAGGCTCTTTTGCAACGTGCCAACCGACAGTCCAGTGCTAAAGTTTTGTCCTTGTGAAGGAAACTGTGAGTCTGAGTCACAGACGTTTGTGTGATCACGGCCTCGTCTCAGCTTACTGAAACACACATACACACGCCTAAAAGTAGTTATACTGCTATGCACTCATTTATTTTGCCAAGGCTTAATTTGTCTTTCCTCAATCTAACAGACTGTTTTCCCATAAGAAGCTCCAGATGAATTCTGCCTTAACGTCTACATTGCTGTTCATACTCATTCTAAGACTTTAACCAGGTATTCATTTTAAGATGTCAGATGAAGTTTTGTTGGCACCGTAAACTGCAAAAGGAGAAGCCAGGGGAGTGAAGAATGAATGTCACAGGTGTTTGTCATACTCACCTTGAGGGAGTCAAAACAAGCAATGACTCTGCCGTTTTCCACTTGACAGCTCTTGGCAGGGTGGGCAAACTTGCATTCGTTGTCTGGTCGGGAGCAAGTTCCTCTCTGAAATTCTCGACACACCTCCAGCGTCAACCACTTTGTGTCTCGGATCGGTGTCACACTCACCGCCATTTGAAATCAGCCAGGAGGGGTCGATTAGGGGGAGGAAATATCCAGCAAACTGAGTAATACGTGTGTCTGTATTTTTCTAATAACACTGGGACACACGTGGAGAAAATAAATAAAGGACATGGGAAAAGGGCTTGGCTTTAGTGTTTTTTGTCCCAAGGTTCTGTGCAGAATGAAGCCTACGAGGCCTTGGACTCAGCTACCACCTGCGGTTCATTCTGAGTCTGTTTGTGGTTTAAGTAGGAATCCTTCAGAGCCCGTCACCAAGGGCCACGGCCAGTGATGACCACAAAGCTTTGTTTTGTAATCTTGGCCTTACAAACACACACGCACTCAAACGCACACACGAGTTCTCTCAATTTGCTCTCTTGTCAGCCGAACTGTCAGATGAGACGAACAGCAAAACACATTATCGATCAAGCTGACCCATGATGAAAGAATGCAGGGCTGAATGGGGGTGGGGTGGGTGAAGGAAGCGGAGGAGGCCGGTGGAGGGGACAGCAATGAAACAATTTTCTTCTGCTCAGAGGAGCTGATAAAAGCTGTTTGTCTTCAGTATTAGGATCTGTCTGCTGAAAAAGGGGGAAGTGTTCGGCCTCTGCAGATGAGACTTGAGTGGCATGGATGGAGAAAGGTCTTGCTGGCAGACAGAGCAGGAGGGATGGAGAGAAGCGGGGTGGGGGTGGGAGGGGAGGTTGTGTCAGTGGTGTTGAGACAGCCTCAGTGGATGTGGCTGGCAGTCGTGGCAGTTCTGGTGCTCCTGGTGTGGCCTGGCAGCTCCGGCAGACATGGACAGGCGCAGAGGCACAGGAGGCTTCAGCAGAGCCAGACAGTCACAAGGGTCAGCAAATGAAGGCACTTCTCTGTGGAGACGACGAGAAGCAAAGGTCAGCGGAGAAGGTTAAAACGCACTAGCATACACAAAAACACACAAGACGGTGCTCTGAAACACAAAAACATTAAGGCAAATGGCTTTTGAAATGATTTTGTTGTCATTTCCAAGCGCAACCTTCCCCTAAAGACAAACAGAGAAAACTAAAAATTGAACTGTAAACTGCTTATCGTGAGTTAGCAATTCCAAGAAAACAAAATAAATGAGAGAGAAAAGTTTGAAGACCATATTCCAACTCATTATAAAAACAATGTTGTTTTAAAATTATCTCATTAAAAGACTTTTATGCTTTCAAAGGAAATTAAGGTTGAATGCATGAACATACATTGGGGGGAGTGGTGGTGCAGAAGCTAGAGAAGGTGGGCCTGTGATCGGAAGATTGCCGGTTCAAGCCCCGGTACCCACAACATCAAAAATGTAGGTGGGGTAGGTGAAGTACCCACACCTGCCCCCACCCTCATTCGCCCCACCCTGGGCCCATGAGCAAGGCCCTCAACCCCCATCTGCTCCCTAAACAGATCTCTCTTGAAAATGAGTTCTCGTGGCTCAGTGAGACTACCTGGATAAATAAAGGCTAAATGAAAAAAATAAAATAAAATACGGATCAGTGAATTATCCATGAGCTCATCTGTGGTGACATTAAAAATGGCCAATAGTCTGAGTTATAGTTGGCTGGTAGCCAGGTAAGACACCATTACATTGATTGAACGAGGTCACATGATGGACAGACAGAATATACATACAGACATGGTTTCTACATAGTTTAAACTACGGATGCACAATATTATTGGCATGGTATCGGTATTGGCCAATATCAGCAATAAAGTTAAATATCGGCCATTCCATCAAAATAACTCACTGATATCACTGGGCTTCTGTTTTAAGTAATTTTTTAATTTAAGAAACTGTCAAGCATATCCATTAATGCACTACTACTTATGTGACGCAGCTGTGTTGTCACTTGTGTTGTCACTGTGTTAGAGAGAGTAAGTATCATGAATAAATTTGACATTAAACATAATCCAAGTTGAATTGTTACATCATTTTCGTCTAGACCCCTTTTTGGCATGTGCATTTGGTAGCAGGCCAAACTGGCAAAGACCATGCAGAATATTGTAATATTTTAATTCCACAGCAGAGAAAGCTATATAGTTTCTGTAAGTAGGTCTCGGGGAAAACAATATCTGTATTGGTATCGGTTAACGGCCAAATAAGTATTAATATAGCGGCAAATCGGATATTGGCCAAAAATCCAATATTGTGCATCTGCAGTTTAATCCCATTCATTGACTGAACTTTGGCTGCAGCGTAGAAGTAGGGCAGCCAACCTGGGGATCCTGAAAATCACAGGTTCAATTCCCCGCCACATGCTGTGGTGTCCTTGATCAAGACTGCTCCCGAGCAGCTTACATAGCTGCCCACTGCTCCGCTTGGGTGTACCGCACATGTGATGGGCCAAATACAGGGCACAAACACATGACATCACAACCCAATCATCCACAGTCCTTAAAAGTGCAACACATACACAATCATGGAGCTTTTTAATACATGTATGCACTGTATATAAATGCAGCACTTTTCTCTGCAACCGCACACCAAGGAGCATACTGAAGCAATGTGAGGGTCAGTGTTTTACTAAAAGATCCTTTAAATATTGAAAAGTCTGGGAATAAAGCTGATAGCCTTCTGACTGGAAGATGACCAATTTACCACCTGAGCCACGTGATTACTGTACATCACTTCTTGGGTATTCCAATAAACTTAAGACATTTGCGAATCTTCTACAATTGATTTATTTTATACTATGTAAAGCAGTCAACCATTCTGAAATCTGCACGAAACCTTAAAATTAATTTGTTGATGAGCACAGAGCACAGGCTAATGCGATTCAAGTTACTTTGCTTCCAGGTGTGCAGGTCATCTGACACTCTTCCTCTGCATTGTTGTGAGGTTGTCCATAATTACCATTACCCAGCAGGGGCTTTGTTTCTCAATTATCCATATGATTAATTATTGTTTAACTTAATGCAGAAATGTAAAATGGAGACATGCACAGTAGGTATCAACATAATAAGGTTTATAAAGGATTTGAATGATACATTTAGTTTCCAGTGTGCTTTACAGGTAAATTAAAGCTCTGAAAATACCTGGTAGTTGTGTTTCATTCCATTTATGCAAAACGTGCATGCACAGTACACTCAGTGATAAAAGCATACAGATGGTCAGGATTTTAGCATAGGCTAAATGTTAATGCAGGCTGCTGAGTGTTTGCAGGGCTGACTAAAACTGTGTTGGATTTGTATGTGTTTTGCTGCTGGTGAGAAATATGAACATCCAACAGCCGCAAAACACAAAATAAAGTGCAATAAGCTAATTTCATCAGAATGTTCTTCTGTATTTTGCAAGTTCAAATGAACGTGATCCAGATTCACGACAGCGATAAATGGAAATTGTTTTATCCTTGGTTTCAACTCTTCATAAGGTTTCATATAATCAAAGTTGGCAGTTTTTGGGTGATTATGCTGACAAATAAATAGCAACGCTCAAAAACCTTCATCTCTTCTGAGAAAAGAACGTTCAGCAATAATTTTATGTGCTATGACTAAACAGTGTTTAGCGTTAAGTGTTTGTGTTTCTATGGAAAGGTATGAAGCTGGTGTAACGCACTTTGCTAGAAAATGTGTCTCATCTAAATGAGTCAAATCCTCAGTTTCTGGGGAGTAACTACAAATTCTTGGAACAGATCCTGAGTCAGGTTGCACAAAGGACAAGCTGAGTACCCAAAGTTAAATCTGAGTGTTTTATTTTTTTAGCTTGATAACTTTTTATCCTCAATAAGCATTTGGTCTCAGACATATTTAAACCTCCAGCTGTGAACATGTGTCTTACAAACTAACAATCAGCTGAGTTGTTTTTTTGAATCTGATTTTTAAGAGCTTTGTGGAAACAACTAAGATTCATGTAAAGCTTCAAAATATAAAATGTAACATAATTATTTTTAAATTGTGTTTAAACATAACTTAATATCCGTGAAACTGACCGAATTAGATCAGTTTTTGTGTTTGCAAATGTTGATTAGCTGTGATAGACACCTTCAATTAGTTTGACTTTAAAAAGTTATCAGTTATTGATGTGCATGCAGTTTTTACTTTTTCATAGTTTCATTCAAATTTTTTCAGCAGTTCACGAGATATTTTGCTAACAGACAGCGAGAAAGGATCCCACACAAAGACACATTATTGTCTGATTTTTATGGCGGCAGGAAATAATTAGACTAGTTAAATACTTTGTACAATATGTTAAAACTTTGGATGCGTTTAGTCATTTTTGATTAAAAAAAGAAATTGGTCAAAGTTTTGAATTTTCGTGTAAGCGTAAATAAGACAAACTGTACATGTCTGATACGAATCACATTTTTTATTAACAAAATTTGTTCAGAACAAGCTAATCAAGCAAGATTATTTACAATCATGGAGAACTAAAACCCGTTTTAAAAAACTATTATCACTTATTTTTGCAAAAGTGAAACAAATGAAATTAAAGTAATTACTAAAACTCCTTGTGTCACTGTTTTTGGTCTTAACACTGAAATACTTTCCTAACCTGAAGCTGATGGTTTTGTAAGTAGGAGTGTGTTGTGTGTACATGAAGAAAAGTCTGAGGCAACTTCCTTTACACAAGAAGTTCAGTTCTGGTGAAAGTTTCTGCTGCTCTTACTCACATCCTGAGGAATCCTGTTTATTTTGTTCTCTGCTGAACCATTAATTCTTCAAAACTTTGTCTTTGCATACAATAAAGCACTTACAGAAAAGTCACAGAATATTTGTAAAAATGTATTAAAGCACATTTATCCAATTAATAAGGTCATTATTGATCACAAAAGGGTTTTTATTTCTGAATTAGGTTTAGTGTATATAATCTTGTATAAATACACACCCTGAGCTGATGTAAGACAAAATGCAATGGGAGAAATAGCTGCAAGTGTATAAGTCAGTGTTTCTCAAACGGGGGTCCCTGGATCCCCCAGGGTCTGCAAGCCAGTGCTTGAGGGTCTGCCAAAAATAAATACATTTGTTTATTTATTTATTTTTATAAGCTCGTAGATGTTTTACAACCCATTAATATACATCAAAATGCATGAAATCACATCTATTTTCTTCAAAAATTTCTGGGGGAGGACGCCCAGACTCCCTGGACCACCACCGTCAGCCCGCTTGCTATTAACGTTCCGGTATCGATGGGTTTACAAATCAAGCACTGTTACTTGGTATTACTACTGCTCTTATGATTCCATTCTGTTCAGTTATTT